AACTCGTCGCTGTCATCAAAACGGTGGCCGAAGATCACAGAACAGATGATGTTGGCTGCAGAGCGGCTGAGCAGGAACACTGGGTGGAAGGGCTCGCCTGAAGTGCATGCATGGCCGCACTCCTTTGGAGAAGGTCAGCCTGACTCAGTCCCGCCACGCCTTTTCTTGTATGTTCTCACCAAAATGTCAATGTCCCCTTTCCTACAACCCGTGAATAGAGTATCTTGCTTCTCATAGTAAAAGTGACTTTGCAGATGCGATAAAGAATGGGGAGAGCCAGGTGCTGGTGGCTCATGCCTGAAATCCTAGTTACTTAAGAGGCTGAGATCTGAGTATCACAGTTCAGCGGGAGCCTGGGCAGGAAAGTCATGAGACTCTTATCTCCAATTAATTACAGAAAAAGCCAGAAGCGACACTGTGACTCAAAGTGCTAGAACACCAGCCTTGAGCAAAAGAGCTCAGGGACAGTACCAGGCTCTGAGTTCAAGCCCCGCGACCGATCCCCCCCCACAAAAATAAAAGAATGAAGAGAATAAAAAAGAATATAATAATTATGGGAGAGCCAGGTGCTGGTGACTCATGCCTGAAATCTTGGTCATAAGTGGACCCTCCTCTAGGGGCGCTATTCTCATAATGAGGCAAGTAAGGCCCCTTCAGAAGTCTTGCACTCACCACAGTGCCTACTAAGAAGGATGGGTGTGGGTTAGGGGTGCAGACTGCACTCACTAAGGACCCCTCCCCACTCTGACCTTGTGTATTCTGCAGGGACTCCAACAGGAAGCTGCTTTCCTCCAGGATCCGCTCCTCCATGCTTCTCTTTCCCATCCCAAAGTTCCGTAGTATCTGGACAGAGAACTTTCTCAGGGCCTTCTACCGTTCTCCATTGGAGAAAGCGATGCCTGGGGAGAGGAGCAGTACTTAGCTCAGTGGACAACTGAGCCCCTGAACCCCCCTTTTCCTGGTGTTTGCTGGAAGGGAGACTGAGTCTCTTTCCAGGGAACCAGCCCTGACCCTCCAGGCTGAGCCAGGTTGTTTTCTTGGAGTTTTCACGGGGCCGTGGGCTTTCCTTTCCCCACTTCTGAACATTCTAACTATTTCTTTAAGGATCCCATGACTGCTGGATGCTGGTGGCTCCCACCAGTCATCCTAGCTACTCAGGAGGCTGAGATCTGAGGATCATGGTTCTAAGCCAGTCTGGGTAGGAAAGTCTGGGAGACTTTTATGTCTAATGAACCACAAAAAAGCCAGAAGTGGAGCTTGGCTCATGTGGCAAAGCACCTGTCTTAAGCACAAAACTGGAGTTGGATAGTGATGGGGATTGGGATGGAGGTGCCATTCAAGGTTCTGGAGTGACAGGAGTGGGGAGGAGAAGCTTAGGGAATGGTGGAGAAAGGAGGAGGCTAACCATTGCCCTTAGTAAAGTTAAAAAACACTGGGTAATCTCCATGGCCACTGAACTCCTCCCCCTGGTCCACCAGCGCCTCCTTTACCGTTTGGTACCCGCTGAGTACCACGACTCTCCTGGGCCCCAGGTACACGGTGTACATGGAGCCATATTCCTTGCTCAGCTGAGGATGGAAGGAGGTCACAGGGGGCTCTTCCCCCTCCCCTCCCCC